CACCGGTGCAATCTTCTGATACAAAACCAAGTTTTGTATGAATTGATAATAAATGTTGCTGTAATGCATCAAATCTAAATTCTGCTTCTGCTACTCTAAGATTTGCATTTAATATCAAATTATTTAACGTTGGAATAGCTGGTAATGCAGCAATCAAATTCATTCTAACAAATTCGTATGTTAATTTACCACCTAATATGAATAATGCTACAGCAAAACGTTTAATAGATTCGTTGTATCGATAATTATGTTTTGGTTTTGAAAGGTTCTTCGTTATGTTATCAATAAATGATGACAAAAATATTTGTTTGTGATTGCTATTGCTCATATTTTCATTTTGTTCGTACCAAGAAAATAATGATCTTAACATTGAATTATTATTTATAATTTCATATGGCAATGTTTGTTCATTACTATTATTATTGTCGTTATTCATGATGGATTGTTGCTGATCTTGTTTTATTTCTAATAATTTTGTTAAATATGCTAAACTGCTTTTAATTCCAGCTTTAATAATATAATGACCATTCGTCATTTTGTGACATAATTTATTTTTAATACCAATTAAATCAGGCGAATCATATTTAAAAATTTGTAACACATCGTCAGTATTCAAAAATGATCTTGTGGAATTTATTGATCGTATTCTGAGAATCTCACAAACAGTTTCACCGACTAGTGATTGTACTAATTGATAAAAATCAGTACCATCCAATGTACACACATTGTCTGGTACTAGAGATACATCATAAATGTCGTTATTGCTGCTCATAACAAATAAAGTTTGAATAGAAATCTAAAATAAGTCAAATAGATATTAACAGTAGAAAATCTTTGTATACTTCAAAAACCATTTCACTCTCTCTTTCAAAATAATTGTTCTCTCTTTTCTCTCCTTTTTTGCGTCCGTACACATCAAATCCTATATAAACAGCCACTTCTAATACATGAAACATCATTCTCTGCATACGAACATTTACTGAAGAAGAAGAATTTAAATTCTCGTGCATCCTGTTTTTTCATTTGTCATTTTCGTTTAAAATCTGTCGTCGTATTTTTAAATCATATATTTTTATATTAACTAAACCAAAAATCACAAAAAAACAATTCGTTTTGCATTATTTAACCAAGCCAAATTATTCTTCCATATTATCATTACATTTATTCCGTATTTAATAAAGAGAAGTAACACTTCTCTTTCGCTTTATTTCCTTTACCGTGCTCCTCTGAGTACACAAAGATTAAAAAAACCAATATCGTTCTACAAAAGAGAATTGCGTAAATCTGTTTTCGTTTCTATTTTGCCTTCTTTCCGCTTTGATTTTCGCCTTCTTTGATTTATTATTGTTTGTCTAACATCTTCTCATTTGATTAATAGCTTGACTAAAATTAACTTATACAAAAGAATCATGCCTACACTCTTCATTAATACAAGTCAGTTACCAGCAGATATATTAACGTTTAATGGTAATAAATTTTATGATTTTGTCAAAAATATTTGTGGAGCTGAATTATTAGAAGTGCAACAAATAGCAAATGCTCAGTCTTTATTATTGACTGATGATGTATTTGGTATTATGGATGTCGATTGTCCCGATTTAATTGATTTAAAAAAGAAAATATCATTTACATTAGCTGATGGTTCATTTCTCTTAAAAGCTGGTATTAGAGCAAATATTAAATATTTAAAAGAACTATTTTTGAAAAAAAATGAAGAAATAATGAAAGAGACAAAATTAAAACCAAAACAACAAACAACCATAACAACAGCTGCTAGTAATTCACTCCACCACCATCATCATCGATTATAACCATAGCACCAGTTTCAACTAATTCAGCTCCCGGGAAACTAGCATTTTTATATTCAATAATATCTTTAACTGCTGTTTTGATCAAATTCTCTAAAAATGTATGTATAGTAAACAGAATTACAAATTTGAGTATAATTGAAAACCAGTGCTTTTATTCTAATCGAACTATAGTTTTCTATCTAACTAAGGTTTTTAAAAATATTGAAAGTTCTCACTAGGTAAGGATCTTCTAGTGCGGTTGTTACTCGGTGAGGACTGAAGTTTAGCCTGTTTTATTCTAAAAAATTTGAAATTTTGAAAAATTAGTAGTGTCCACAATTGCAAATCTAAATTTGTAGTAAGTACTGCCATCCACAGTATGCTATTAAACGCTTACCTAGTTTACTATATTTTTTTTATCAACAAATTCAACAGAATATGAATGTTCAACATCTGTGTTACCATCAAATGTAGAAACCGTTGCATAATTATGAGGCTAACGTGACAATATCAAGTTATGTTAGTAGCACCCATTTATTACCATTTACCAAAGAGTGTTTGAAATGTAATGGTGATTTAACGCCACCAAAGCCAGCTAAACGTCTAACGATTATGAATCAAAATACGGTGAATAGTGAAGTGCTTTATCGAAGTGAATCTAAAAAATATGCAACAATTTATTGACCTATGCATTATGAGGAGTAATTCCAAAAAGACAAATACGTTACACCAGCATCAATGAAAAACAACAAATTCATCTATTTCGGAGGACAGACGGCAATTAATAATAATTTACTGCTTGAATTCACCTCACTATTAAGACGATGTCATACAACATTCAATGGGTTTTGTTCTGCATATAATGGTCGAATATTAGAACAAAAACAACAATCATGTTCAAATACAAAATACGAGAATAAACAGCCGGATGAACTCGATCCAAAATTATTTCAAAATGTTTATAGAATATCAGTTAGCATTCATGTTAACAACACTAAAACAGTTTAAAAGTATTACGAGCATGTATCAACAAAGCTGCACGAGATCATTATTTCAAAGCCATTAATCAAGAGTTCTACAAACTATTTATCTTTATGGAGTAATCATAAAAAGATGTCAACAAATAAACACTGTAAAGACAATTGTTCATCTGTAATCATTTTTGACGGCCATCAAACCCATGTATACTGGTTTGTAAACAGGATATGACTGATAAAGATTGTACAGAATTAGGAGGAGTTATGGTTGGTTGTCCGGTAACTCCACAACCAGAGCTGGGCAAAATACTCGAAGTTCTCGTACTCGAGTACGATTTTGGTCGTACTCGTACTCATACTTGTACTCGAGGTGGTCAGTAGGTGTCTAGAATAATTCCCACAACCGTGGTCGAACACTTATATACGGACTTAATAAGAGTCGTATAAGGGTCCGATAAGTATTTATAAAAATAATAGGTCTAGGGTACGTACATGCGTTGTATGCGTGTTATGTGTATGGCTTTCTTTCTCTTTCCTTTCTGTTTCTTCTTTCTTATGTTTGTCCATTTTACTCGTCTTGTATATATCTGGATCAATCTTTTTTTTCTCTTTATTTCGTCCATGAGAATCACTGAAATTCTCATATATTTCTTCAATTTCTTTTGATTGCGCAGTTATTTGATGCCATCTCTTTGTTAAAAATTGACATGACGTCATTTTTTTTGTTTCGAATTGACCTATTTCTCAAGAAAAGAAGATACATGACGTAATCTTCGTTTTTCGAATGAAAAAAAATATTAATTCGGAAAATCAATTCTGATTGATTGACGAGCTCGCTAGAGAGAGGAACCTATTTAACATCGTTTTTCTTAATTTTGTAATAAATAAACAACCTTTATCATTTTGAACAATTTTCTTCTGTTGTTGTTGGTATTCTCGTCTTATTTCGGAACATATTGATTTTCCGTTATCGGTTTTGCCCAGCTCTGTCCGTCCACAACGGAAAAGTCAAAATAAAATCTTAGCGTTTTTTATCTCCATTAAATACTGTTCTAAGTTATATCTACATGATTGCTCTTTCTGTATAGAGAAAACGCAGAAGGAAGATGGAACTATGAAGACAAAATTGCAGAAAAATCCATTTTTTAGCAACACAGTAGACTAGTACTCAAGACTCCACCAGTCGTACCTTAGAGTAGAAGAAGGAACGAAGTATACAAAACTTTGAGCATTTTTCAATGAAAAAATCATTTTAAGCCATGACTTGTAATTTCACGTGACTTGAATTAGAAAAACCCGAGACTTGACTTGACCGGAGAGAAAATTTTATGACTCGTGTCTCTGAGCGGTGTAGTTTTACGCAAATTCTCTCCTTTCTTCCCGAAAAACGTGATTTTGGTTTTGTAGCCTGAAGTCTTTTGCCAGTTGCTGCTCTGAAGGTATGTGAGTAATAGTCAAATCCCATGATGACTTTTTCGACGTGTTCAGACTAAATACAAATTTATTTTGCTCACATATTTCACAAAAAACAAACACTTTTTAGAACAGTCGAAATGTTGCTGCAATCATAAGATGATCGGAAGGATGTGCTTCGTCTGGATATGATTTACTGACAGGATGATCTGGTAACTCCAGCACGTTTTCGACCATAAGATTCCCGGCAAAGAAGATATAGTCAAGAGTAGCATAAAAGTTGGGTGACCGTTGAGTATCGACAAAATTAGTATAGACTGGTTCGGCTCCATTCTTCTCCACGTAGGCACTTTTCAAAACCTTTTCCACATCTGGTCGATAAGCCGTCTTATACGTGGGAGATTCTGATAGATGAAGACCTACATACTCTTTCTGTGTCAGCATCTGATAAGGAATTTCGGTAGGTTTCATATTGAAATCACCTGCTAAAATCAGATCTTGGCCAGATGCCAGTTCAAACATCATGTCCTTCACCAAAGAAGAATGGATCACCATGACGTCTGGATATTGGTAAGCACAAGGCATATGATAAGTGCCAATACACAAAGGTTTTCCGTCGACCACTACTTGCAAACAGATGAGTGTGTTAGGTTTCAACATCGACTTTTCCCAAGGATCAAATGTGGATTCTTGTCGTATGAGTTTTGCCAGTAAAAATTGCCCGAGGTCTTGCGCCCGTGTCAAGATGCTAGTCGTCTTCTCGGGCTTCTTGATGGAGAGAGAGCGTAAGTGATCACCAATTTTGATAAAAGAGAGAGAATTGATCTGTATGGAAACTGGTATCGCAATTCCTACACCCATGTAATCATCATAGCGTTGGCCATAGAGATTATGAAAAAAGGTATAATTCAATCGACGAAAAAATAACTCGAGTTTGGGCAGGAAAGTCAGACAAAGTTCTTGCAAGCAGACGACCGTATTCTTGTGAAGGATCATCTCTTGTTCCAACTGAGACTGAATCAAGTTCCATCGATAATCGGTTTGAAGAAAGTCTGAATGACATTTCTCATAAACTTTGGGATCAGCATAGATCGGAACCAGTAGATTATAGGTTACCACACGGATCGACATACTGAGTGGTTGAAATCAGGAACTAGAGAATCTAAAAAGGAAGAAAGAACTGACACAGCTACTGGTTGCTGTCGTAGCTTTGCAGTTTTTGGCTTGATCAACTTGTCCCTGCAAGACGTCTATTCACACAAGCTTAGTAATCACAGGAGAGGTTCAGTTACTCAAACAAAACAACAATTTCAAATAAATCGGGCCTAACCTTTACAGGATAGATGTCTTTAAGGCGATTTTTTAACGAAATTGATGTGAAATCCTCTTTTGTAAGCATGCGAAGACGATTGTCACTTTCTGCTCTACTTCTTGGATACGCACCGCAATCACACAAGGTATACACACTGATCATCGGAAGAAGGAGTTGAGAATTCCGATCCACGTGCTGACGAAGAAAATAGGCTAATAACTGACATGGGTAATTTTTTTGAATAAAGGAAATTAAAACTTGCTGTGTGAAGGAATAGTACTCTTCACTGTGTTTATTCATAAACAGCCGGAAATATACGTGCTATGGAATGATTATATATAGTGCAGAATGAAAATGGAGAATGATATAAAAGCTAGTCGTCGGTGTGAGGGAACCAATGAGAGGTGATACTATTATTCCTCACATCTCGAGCAGTGTATCATTTGAGATCGGGTATTAGACTCTTGCAGGTTCCATCCGGTTATAAAAAAGTTTTTGTAGGTTCGAATTCGAGACAGGTTTCAACTCTACAAGTCGCGATGGGAATTCTTCTCCATAATCGTATTGTCTTTTCAGATACTTCTACTATATTATCCAGTACAAAAAACATAAAACAGAGATCTAACATTTATGACAAAAGTAAAAGAAAGAAAAATCTTTGCTTCAAAATGTTGATTTTCACGGTCACTAAAAGTACTCCAGTTAGTTTCTGCTTCTCGGTTGTTCACTATAATAAAGTTACGCAGATGAAAGAGGGCGTTAGCTACTTCACTAGAAAGAAATTTTCCGGGTTTGAGCAGGATCTAAACGGGTTTTACGATGATCTGCGGAAACGGGTTCAGATTCGAAAAACTTAAACTCGTAGGACATTATTGAGCATTCATTAAGAAAAGAACAGAAGAAATATATCACTACATACGCATAGCTGAGAGAAGCGTGTTGAAAGAAAAGAGAAAAGTGGAAGAATGTTTAGAAGAACATCACAGAATGAGAAATATTATACGTTATCTCATCACAAGAAAATAGAAAAGAACATCTGATGAAATAATTCTACAGGACACGAAAATAGAGATGTGCAACCCGACCCGAAGGTTGGTACGGGTACAAAGTTGTCGGGTACGGGTTCTATTTTTTTTAATTTACCCGAAAATTGGAAGGTTCTAGTAGAAAACCCACAAAATTTCAGTGAAAAAATACAGGAATTTAGCTAATATACATGAAGATTTAAAAAAGAATTACTTGAGAACGTAATGATAATTTGACATCTGTGAGGTTCTACTCACTCACTTCTCATCTTTATTTAAGAAAGTGAACGGCTATATATAGTACACAAGTTGAACAACAGTTATGCAAGAGTTGCGCATGAGTTACATAAGAACAGAAATAGTTTAGGAAAATCCCATTATGAAGCAAGAGTTGCGCAATAACAGAAAGAAACGAAAACGAAAGAATGAAACAAGAGTTGCGCAATAACAGAAAGAAAGGAAAAGACGAAGAAAACACAGTCTTATGAGCTGCCAGGAATGGCAGATCATAACAACATCTTCAGCCGAAAAACAAAAGTTCTTAGCTGGAAAACAAAAAGAAGAAAATGTTTAGGTATAAGTTGATTACGGGTCGGATACGGGTACACAGTTCTCGGGTCGGGTCGGGTACGGGTACGAAAATGGTACCCGTGCACACCTCTACACCAAAATATAAAAGATAATTATAGCACAATAAATTGTACACGCATCCCTAGTCGACTCTCTCCAAGAAAAATCCCGGGGAGTCCCCGAAAAATGCGTAATTCCCGAGGGCTCGGAGAGGAGTCACTCTCAAACTCCATGGGGAGCCCCAATATGTATACTAAATATGTAATCCCTATAGAGGCATCCCGGGGAGTCCCCAACATATGTAATGCCGGGAGAGTCCCCGCCAACTCCCCATTCATCTTTCGTTTTGCAATGCATTCTTACAACACTGTGTAGAAAGAATACGCAGTGAAAAAAGAAGCAAAATTATAAAAAACAACAGAACAAGGAAAAATGTGTGTTCGAGTGTGTTACTATGAAATAAAATAAAGATCATTTAGAATGATTCAAGCTTCAGCTTTTATCCTTTCAGAGGTCGACTTTTTAGACAATATACTTTTAACAAGCATTTTATTTTCTTTCAAAAGATAAACTTTGTTCTTCTTCATAACGACTTTTCACCTGCGATAAGCCAGAAAAGAAAAAAAGGCAGTGTCGACTACATAGTAACAATACAAATTATCTTGATTGTATACGCCCGCGAAATTTTTCTGGCAGGTTTTATATACATCGATTAGTTTTGATTATTAGATAACCCATACTTTATTCTCATAAATCAGCAAAAAAGGGTTATTGTAATTCAGTCTTTCTCGAAAAAGTTGGGACTAAGTGATGAAACCGAGCAGAGTCTCGTTAGTAATTGGTTTATTAATTTTAATATATATGTGAAACAACAGGCGCGTTGCATAAAGAAGTTTTTTCTTCAAAATCCAAAAAAAACTCAATTTTTTAGTTTCATAAACTTTTCTCTCATTTTCTGTACATTCTAAATTTTTCTCACATATATAGAAGAAAGTGTTTTCTTCACAATGAGACGTTTTAGAGAATTTTCTCATGAGTTTTCGCGGTGATATAAACATCGCGACAAATGCTCTGAAAAAAGTGACCTATGTACAAAATGAGTTTTCTCTGGAAAACTATTTTGTTGCTACCAGACTTCATTGTGCCGCATTACAACCCCCCTTAAATTTCATCCGATCGAGTTAAGAATTTTACCAGAAGTATCCAAGCTGCTACTGCAGGGTTAACTTTTGGGAATTTTACTTTAGACTTTTCGTTACCGATTTATAGGGTTTCTAAAATTGAAAAACTTGGTTTTCAAGACGTTTTCAATATTTTTCCTATAACTCGACCAGGAAAGGTCTCAAAAAAATTTCCCTAAACTTTTCTCTCCGAAATGACCTTGAGTACCTCTAGTAAAATTTTGAACTCGATCGGATGAAATTTAAGGGGGTCGTAATGTGGCACAATGAAAAACCGATAAACGAAAATAGTTGAAAACTTAAAAACAAAAACGAAAAAGTGCTCCATTGAGTTTCCAATCAGTTCTGAAAATACGAAGCCCTAGCGACTGTTAGTTTTTATTTCACAGCATTTGTACGGAAAGCCCAAAAAGAAGGGAGGGGTACCCTTAAGGGATCTTTGTCGAACTTTTTGCTAATACATTAAAGTTGTCCATAAAATCTGAAGCACACATTAGTCGATTGAGTTTTTGATGCTGATCCCAAACATGGCATTGCTTTTGCAAAAACTGGGCGTTTGAAGTCGAAAACTGCAACATACGGATGCATTTCCTTGTTTTTTGCTACCTGTTTCAAAAACATTGATTTCCTCAACAACGAAACAATATTTTCCAAAACTGATGTTTAACTCTTTTAGTGGACTTGAGTCGATCATAACGATCTTAAAACATTGACTTACCTTCTAACTAAAACGAGTTGAAGTTTTGAAGGTCTGCCCCTGACAGGAACAAAAATGTCGAAAAAATTCTAAGGAACGCTGTAGATTTAGGTGAAGTATGTAAGAACGAAACAGAAAAGGAGAACAAAACAAAAGATACGATGTTGAGAGATAATTAATTCTGACGGTGTAGGATATCGTAGAGATGGCTAAGTTGGAAGTCGCTCAGTAAAGTATTGCTATAAATAATGCGGTGTGCTGTTAGTGTTTTGTCACAATAAAAGTGGAATCAGCACAGGATGGATACTTTGGGGTTGCTACAACCCAAAATTGATATACCACCTACCAATACTTATACCTATATGTGCACCCGACCTACCCATACATACCTGTGCTTACCCACACATACGTAGGTAGGGGTAGGTATGGTCGTACCTACGCGTACCTACTCATGTCTTGACGTTGCAGCAACACTATTGAGTGGTGTTTGATCTACATGGACATTTAGGATTGGGGAGTGTGAGGAACCTACATTTCCCCTAATTATAAGTCCTTGAGTTGATTGTATGCGTGCGTTAAGATCTGTAGTATTACTCTTTTATTCGACTACTCTTTATCACAAACTACAAAAAACTAACTTTACAAGAAAAAAATACTAATATATATATATGTACTACTGCATGCACAAAAGATAAGAACTACAAAAGAACAAAGCGAGGAAAGAACGTAAACAGACA